TTCAATAACCTGATGATACTCACTGGCGGAAATATCGCTGATGATTGCTTCAACGAAGAGATGATGATCTATGACATTGGTAGAGTCAATAAAATCAGGAAAAAACGTTCGATTTAGCATGTGAGAGCTGGGTGCAACCAGACCGGACCAGCTTCAAACAGTCCGAATTGGCTCGGTATGGCCATACTGCTGTCGTGGCCGGGAAGGAGAAGATCTACGTCATCGGAGGGTTCAACGGGACCATGCGTGCAAATATTATTGAATTCCATGCGGGTTTGTAGTTCTTTTTATCTGTCGCACTTTCCCTCTCTCTCGCCCTCCTTCTGTTTCTCTCCGTTTCTCTCGCTCTCGGCCCTATTTCAATATTTTCAGCAAAGTGCCACTCAGCCAGCCGACCCGAAGAATGCCAAAACATCAACGGCGGCGTCAGGTTTGTCAAAAGACCGTTATTTTGATTTTTACTTTTGCTTCAGATGCGTTTACATCGACTCAAAGTGCCAAAAATACGACAACACCCGAAGTGTCAAACCCGACTTCATCGCTGTGGTGAAAAACGAGCGACGAGCCAATGGGGTGTACTGCCCGGAGAGCAAGTACGGAATTTAATTCTGGTCTCAAACAATTAAAACTTAGGCTCAAAAACGTTCCGGTGTGCGGAGAGCAAAAAGACTGCGTGGCATGCACATCGCAGAATGGCTGTGGGTGGTGCCCGACGGAAAATCAGTGCTTGCCGAGCGATGAGTTGTGCTTGGATACGCAGGTGAGTATCGCGAAGGCTTAGGCTCTGGCTTAGGATTTGTCTGGCACTCAGAACTAACTTGAATCTACCCTTCCAGGCAATCCTGACCACCTGGGAAAAGTGCGCAGCAGCAGTATCCGCAGCGGGTTCCCCTCGACCCTGCGCAATGGCTCACAACTGCTACTCGTGCAAGCTGCTCCCCCACTGCAACTGGTACATCGACGCAGCGAGACCACAGTGTATCACCGTAGAGGAAGAAGGTATTTTCAGCAAACGTGAGGTTATGCCAGGACTATTTTAAGCATTCCTGCTAAACGAGCGTCGCGCCAAGGAGCTGGACAACCTTACCAAGATCGGAAGCGGTTTCCCGAAAACCCCTCACTTCTACCCGCTGCCCTTACCCCAGACGCCGAACGTCACGCTGTGTACGTTAGCCGGCCAAGCAGCTTGTGAGGAGGCAACCTCGTGCTCGGCCTGTATGGATGAGGAGCAGAGGAAGGGGTGTATGTGGTGTCCTTCGACTGAACGGTGAGTGTGAAAGATATCTCTCTCTCTCTCTCTCTCTCTCTCACTCTCTCTAACGCCTAGCTTTTCAGATGTATCAACCAAGAAGCCTACACGATCGCCTTTGCTTACGGTCAATGCCAATCGTGGGTGAACGAAGCGTCGAAATGTGGAAGAGGTACTTTAACGAAACGAAAGTGTATTTTATGCGTTTCTTTGTTCAGAATCAGCAACGTGCCAAGACCACAAGACCTGCCAGGAGTGCCAGAGTCAGCCGGGTTGCGGCTGGATTGATGATGGATCGGAGACCGGGCTTGGTGACTGTGTTCAAGGTACCGGGAGGTGAAAGAAAGGAAAAATCCACATTTTAGGAAGCGACAATGGGCCTCGGAATAGCAGTATAGAGGTGGCGGATGGGCAGTGGTTCTTCACGGCTTGTCCAGGTAGGAATGGGGATAATGTTGACAATTGACCTTTGGCGGAATTACATGACGTATCCGTTCTGACGCACCATGTCGAATCGTCGAAATTTAAATACCTTCGTAATATCTGTTTTAGCCTGTCAATGCAACGGTCACGCTACTTGCGAAAAACCGTCCCGCTCCGACCAGAAGACGTTGCAGTGCAAGGCTTGCTCAAATAACACCACTGGAGAGCATTGCCGGTATTGCGCTCCTGGGTTCTTCGGTGACGCCAGGAATGGCGGAACTTGCAAGCGTAAGTTACCGTCTGAAATTCTATTTCCTTCCCTTCCATAGCCCATAACTAGCTATTTTTACAGTACATCATTCTATCCACGTTTTTAGTTTGCGAGTGCAACGGCCAAGCAGAAGACTGCGACAACGAGACTGGCGCTTGCTACTGTATGACCAAGGGTGTCGTTGGGGAACATTGTGACCGCTGCGATACAAAGTACATCGGAAACGTGACGGCAGGCGATATTTGTAAATGTGAGAAATTCTTTTAGTTTTTATCGGGTTTTTTCTAGACGAGCTTGCGGTGGACTTCATCTTCACCTTCAAGCTGAAGAACGACAACCAGGACAAGCATGTCAACGAGATTTTCCTGTTTTCGACGCCTTACAAGGTAACTTGCACTATCCCTTTAACCTACCATATTCTTAGCGAGACACCGACGTCACCTTCCAAATTCATTGCGAGAATGGGACCGCACAAGTGGCTCTGAATTTGACGAGCAACATTTTTGATGGACATTTGGGTACGGTTTTATAGCTTGTTTTCTAACCTTTTTTCTAAGCGCTGCTTAGTCTTCGAAAATAAATATGTTTTAGGCTTCGGACACACGAAGCAGATGATGGTGCACACCACCTGTGACTCGAAGGGGCTCCGGAGAGTGTATCTTGCGAACGATCCGGGATATGCTTTTGGCACTGATGCGAACACGACGTTTTACGTAAGTATCGGCTTAAGGCTTAGGCTTGGGCTTGGGCTTAGGCTTAGACTTAGGCTTAGGCTTGCCTCTGATGATCTTTTCGTTCCAGGTCAAAGTCTCCAACTTCACCACCCCGATCACCATTCAAGTATCCTTCGCCCAGTCCCCACCCATCAACTGGGTGCTCTTCTTTGTCATCTTCGCAGCGTAAGTCCCATCAAACCCCAGCAATAACATCTCGTAATCGGTTCAACTGCCCACCCACCCCCCTAGCTAAACATCGAAGGGTCGGGGCACAAAGTAGCCGGGCAAACAAAAATCCGATGGCAGCGCGAGGGTCTGGAGCCCTTCTCTATTACTTGGAAATTGGGCGATAAATAAGGCCCAGCCGCTTTGATCGATGTCCACCGAAAATCCGAGCCTTTTGCCGCCAGCTGGCCAGCTCGATTGCTCATACACGGGCCAGTCCAGATGTTTGCAAATTCCGGTCGGATTCGAACTAAATTCGACTTGGCCTAGCCGCAATTTGCCGTTTTTCGAGTCGACATTTTGGATGCACGCGTTGTTGTATTCTGTGGGGTAAGGGAGGTGGTTTGGTTTACCTGTAGGCTTAGGCTTCGGCTTAGGCTGGGGGCTTAGGTTCAAGCTCAGGCTGAGGCTTGGGTTAATGCTTAGGATCGCTCAGAATCCTTAAAAGCGGTCCAGCATCTATCAAACCCTGAAGAATACATACCACATTTTCCAGCTGCTTCATCGTGCTCCTCGTCGTCGCCGGTCTACTGTGGATGATCAAGCTCCGAATCGAAGTCTACCGCCGCAATCAAAACCGCATCAACGAGATCGAACACGTGGGTCCAACCGTCGTCAGTGGGCTTCGGAGCTTCCGCAGCTTTCCCTTCTTCTTTTCAGCGCCTACCTCGCCGACCCCGCCGGCTTGATCTTTTTCGCTAATTGACTGTTCTTTCCTCATTTTTGCTCAATTTTGCATAACAGCCTGGACGTTTTGAGTCCAATCCCGGGTTTCAGATCCCGCTGGCGGCCCGTTGAGGAGGGAGACACGAGAAAATTTTTGGCTTGATGTGCTTTTAGGGATAAAGATCAAATTGACGGGGGTCGAGAGGAGCGGAAAAACAATTTACAATTTACATGAAAAACCCAATTTACATGAAAGAAGTGCTATAACTTATTTTTAGATGGCATCTCGGCCTTTTTCATCTGTGCGGTTGGAGCTGACAAATCCATATACGAATTCGGTAAGTTCGAGCGACGGGGAGAAAGAGAGAGAGAGAGAGAGAGAGAGAGAGAGCGTGAGAGAGAAAGTGAGTGGTAGAGAGATCGAAAGAATTGAATCCAAAAGCCAAGCAAAAATTCCAGATCGCTACCCCAATCTCAATCGAACCTTGCGCGGGCTACAAAGCTGGAGTCTACACGTTAGCCGTCCGGTTGCCTACAGGTATGCAAAATTAAAATTTTGAAGATGCAACGAAACTTCTAGGAGGCCGTCAAACGACTCCCAACGGCACCTCCGGCCTCGCCGTTGCTTCAGCACTATGCATGCTGACCCCATCACAACTCGGGGTCCTCACCGCGCCGGACAATTCGGATAACCGAAACAACCGGAAGCGGCATTTCCGCAGCTTTATCCCGTTCCTGCGCAACAACTCGGAGACCCAGATGTAGACCAAAGAGCGACCTGTGATGGCATAATATGTAAATAATTGCCGATGGGAGGGGTTGAGTCGATTTTTAAGTCTAAGCCTAAGCCTAAGCATAAGCCAAAACCTAAGCCTAGGCTTAAGCCTAACCCTAAGAAAATCATTAAAACCGGCTCAACACCCCCCTTTCCCAGCCCCCACCAGTTTACTGTGATACGAGTATATTATATTCACTTTGTCACCCTTGTTATGTGTATTTCCACTCTTTCCTGCCCCAGCTCAATATGACCAGTCCCGAATTCTTTCGAAGCCTCCCCATATTCTACAAATTACTGTGATGCGGCCAGTCGAGCTTCCCAACCCCTCAAGACCTACCTAAACACCGCTCCTCGGGCCTTATTTGTACCTTTGGTGCTGCCTCAATTTCGCGTTTATCTGATAGTACTACCAAGTCACTTAATACTGAGGTTACGCCCAAGCCGAAGCTTAACCTAACCGAAGTCGACCAATACCTATTTTTCAGGAGTATTCCCCCAGCCGCCAATCAGGCATTTCAATGTCTTCACGTCTTTTATTATGCCTTTTTGGGTATTCCCCCTCAAAATATTGGGTATGCAGTCCAAAATAACACACAAGCTGTGGTGTGCGCTTTTTCATAATATCTTTATGTCTTGGAGTGAGGAAGACAAAAGAATAAAAATATTTTATCACAGCATCAAGGAGAGGAGGGCACAAAGTACAAAAATACTTATGAAATACACGGATCGTTGAGGACTAGAATTGCATAGGTTTCCGGTACACGTGCACACTTCCATTTCGCCTGTAATTTGGGAATTAGCCAAGGAAAGAGAAAGAAAGAAAGAAAGAGAGAGCGAGAGGAGAGAGAGAGAGAGAGAGAGAGAGAGACAGTGCGGTAGATTAAGATAAAGATCGTATGCCGATGCCGATATGATAGTTTTATGATAAGATTGGCGTTTTTTAGTTAGCTTTTTTGTAAGGTTTCTCGCACTAACGGCTGTTTTCTGGGTACAAAATCCTGAATTTGAGCTTATTTTTAACCCATTTTGGCCTAACCATAGAACGTTTTTGCAGCCACACACTCCCAGTAGACGAACATCTGGTGAAACATTCCCCGCCGCAACATTTGCTGGGTCCCACGGCCCGTTTTTCGCCGGAGGAGAAGACGCAAAATGGGTAATCCAGCGGGTAAATAGCCGGCGGGACGACTGGTGGCTGGCTACTCTTCGCGGGTGGGTCCCACGGGTTCGTGAGATCAGATGCACAATGTCGGCGAGGTCGGCTATAGTCAAGGGTTGAGCAAAAAAGTGTTGCTACATCGGATGGGCCGAATTTTACGAAATGTCACGGATTCGATCTGCAAGTATTTAGGAGACAATTCGGGCGAGAAAGCGAAAGACAGAGAGAGACAGACAGAGAGAGCGAGAGATACACTCACCTTGACTCGTGCTCACTCTCGTACAATCACTCCGAATCTGATCGCGAGCATTCGGGATGCAGCTTCGCCAAACGTGAGAGGCGCCTGGAAAAAATTTATCGATTTCTTGCCCATTTTAAATATTTACGATTTCTAAGTGCTTAATTAAGTGCCGCCAAGGACATTAAAAAGTGCCCCAAACTCACCATTGACTTCCTGGAACCACATTTTCATACAGGCACCATCCTCGCAATTCTGGTTTTTCACGCCGGACCGAATTGCTCGATCAACCTAAAAACTCCTTTTTAGCGATAGGTTTTGTCGATCTACCTGGAAGTAATCTTTACACGTTTCGGTGTAAGGCACATTTCTGACGTTTTCGAGCCACCTCAATTTTCTTGTAGATTCGAAAATAAAGGATACCTTCTCCAATTTGGGTCTGTTACGTCATTCAGCAATTGCTCGGCTTCCATCGAAGTACAGGAATAGCATCGGATGTCGACAGATTGGCAGACTACAACGCAAAAGAATTTAGGGTCGAATACGCACTTAAAACGTTTAAAAACGTGTAGTTCAGACTTTTAAATATTTGAAAAAATGCACCTGGCTTCAACGCCCTCTTAAGAGCCCTAACCAAATTTTTTGAACATACCAGTCTCAAAAACACATGCAAATATCACGAAGAGCCGGAGCTCATTCTTCATATCGCGTTGTTGCCCAGAAATGGGGCTCGGAGGACATTCGCTGACTGATTGTGCCGCCTCTCTACCTCAAGGACTTTCTAAAATTGCCAAAATTACAGGCTCCGCCCCGAGAACACGAGAAGAAATAGGTCAATAATTAGAAAATCGGCAACTACGGCCGACTACTGTTGACAAGATGCCCCGGCTGACCCAGCACAACTTGCGGCTAATTAATTTTTGATGGGCGAGGACGTTTATGCAAGAAAAAGGGATGTTGTTGACCTTGCATTAGGTTTCTGACTGTTAAAACAGATGCGTGAATACTATACTTAAGTAGTGGTAGTTTTTAAAGGCGTTGGAAAGCTTAAAATCTCCACTAAAAATTCACTAAAAAGACGAAGGTGATTTTTTTCGAAAGTGATTTCACGTGAGTCACATCTGGACAAGCTATTACAGCCGAATGACCAGCTAGCAGAGTTCCTGGGGAGGCTATTTAGTTTTTAACGTGATCGGGAGAAGATTTCATTTTCATTTTATTTGTCAGAAAGCGGTAAGCTGCCCAAGTACGAAAGACACCTATAGCTACCTGATCCAGGAACTTTAAGATCAGAGTTACTTTCTGAGTCCGGAAAATACCTATAGCCACCAAAATCGGGGATCATTAAGATCAGAGTAACTCTCGAAGTACTAACGATACCTACCCCGACCCGAATCAGGGAGCACGAAGAAAACTGAAGTCGCGAATACGAAACACACTTACAGCAACCCGAATCAGGGGCATTAGGAGAAGGGTGGCTGTCAGAGTACGATAGAAACCTACGAAATCGGGTCACCAAGATGACGGCGACCTCCCGAGTACGAAAGACAACTGAAAACGCTAACGGAAGGGATAAAAATACCTTAACACCCAGAAAATTTATTCGAGGGATCACTAGGTGGGTGGCGATGGGTGGGAAGTGGAAAGGTTGGATGGGTTGATCTCTTGGGTCAGTGCTAGACACCGACCCGAGAAGAGGTAGAGGTAGAGGATGAGGGGGAGAAGGAGGAACGAACCCCCGAGGGTCACTCGGTGGGCAAATAGACCCACACACTGGCGAAGGGTAGACGAGACGATCCCGCAAAAGCTTACAGTCAACATATCCAAGCGGGACAGAGTGGAACGGGATTAATTAGGCAATGCTGATCAACAGACAAGAATTTCACGTGGGAAAGGGATTATGATTTAATATGCAATGCGAGGGACACAGTATTTTTAAACTAATTATACTGGATGCCTCGCTTTAATAAGTCATGTTTAAAGGAAACCTGAAGACAGAATCAACGGCAAAAGTCAGTTAGGCTACGCTACAGTGCCTAGGATATGCTACGATGCGCTACGTTACGCTACGGTTCGGTGCGGTAATCTGCCAGCCGCACGCTGCGCTACACCAAATCACGGTACATTCCGTAATGCTATATTGCATTATACTATCATACGTTTGGTACGCCATAATACATACAATACTAATAAATAAATACATCCAACAACGCTACTTTAAGTCACCCCAGGTTACACTACATTGCTTTACGGATGGTACATCGCGCCACTGACTACATCAAGCCTGACTTTACAGTTCTATCAAAACAAATATTTTTGAAACCGTATCTCTACCACAGCTACCTGTCACACTCCCTTTAAAAACCAAACATTAGAAAAATGGCAAGGAAAGCCAAGTGGTTCAAGGGACAATTGTCTCCCAGAAGAGTTCCGTGTATTCCTGGCGCGCCAGACTGCAGAGAGAGAGAGAGAGAGAGAGAGAGAGAGAGAGAGAGAGAGAGAGAGAGAAGGTTCTTCCGCTAGGCTCGAGTTTCGGTGCGTATGTTTGTCAAGTGCGGTTCTTCAGGTTTTCTGAAGGGTGCATGAAGTTTCTTAGGCTTAGGCTTAGGCTTAGGCTTAGGCTTAGGCTTAGGCTTAGGCTTAGGCTTAGGCTTAGGCTTAGGCTTAGGCTTAGGCTTAGGCTTAGGCTTAGGACGAGCCCCCGGACTGGTATGCTTTTTTGGGCCAGCCGGATTTGTTGGGGCATTTTTTCTCGGCACGTTGCACCGCTAGCTACTTGGTTGTTGATTTTTGTTGGATCGGGCTACAGCCCTAGCCTAAGCACTACACCGGAGATTTCCGGAACGGCGCCGGCTACCTTAGTTAGAATAGGGTGGTGGTCCCCAGGAGGTGTCGTTGTTGCTGATGCTCCTCCCTCAACCTTCCCTCCCGTACGTAGAGTAGCTCTAGCATTTATCTGAGCTGCGATCTGCGGAGACCCGGCCTTGAATGCGACCTTTTTTACGACGAATTTCGCAATCATATCGATCCCCCTAGATCAACCAGATATATCTGTGAGCGTATTTTTTTGCTACCGAAAACAGTTACTTCCAAAGCCCCGGAGGCCCTGGTTTAATTGCTACGATTTTTCGAAACTTTTGGTTTTGATGGTTTACGACTAAAGGGGGGACCACATGGATTTTTTCGGAATTTACCAAAAAAATTTCGAGAAATTCATCACGCACTTCGATGTGGAGCTGAAAGAGCACTAAAAATAGTACCGAAAACACTTACTTCCGAAGCCCCGGAGGCCCTGGTTTAATTGCTAAGATTTTTTGAATGTTGCAACTAGGCAGCCCTCGTCGACCAGGCCTTCCAAGCCCGATTCCGCGAGAAATCGACCGTGCGAAATCGCTTTGATGTGTGCACCTGAAAGAGCACCAAAAATAGTACTGAAAACCGTTTCTTCCGAAGCCCCGGAGGCCCTGGTTTAATGGCTAGGATTTTTTGAATGTTGCAACTAGGCAGCCCTCGTCGACAGGCCTTCCAAGCCCGATTCCGCGAGAAATCGACCGTGCGAAATCGCTTTGATGTGTGCACCTGAAAGAGCACCAAAAATAGTACTGAAAACCGTTTCTTCCGAAGCCCCGGAGGCCCTGGTTTAATGGCTAGAATTTTTTGAATGTTGCAACTAGGCAGCCCCCGTCGACAGGCCTTCCAAGCCCGATTCCGCGAGAAATCGACCGTGCGAAATCGCTTTGATGTGTGCACCTGAAAGAGCACCAAAAATACTGCCGAAAACCGTTTCTACCGAAGCCCCGGAGACCCTGGTTTAATTGCTACGATTTTTTGAAACTTTTGGTTTTGATGGTTTACGACTAAAGGGGGGACCACATGGATTTTTTCGGAATTTACCAAAAAAATTTCGAGAAATTCATCACGCACTTCGATGTGGAGCTGAAAGAGCACCAAAAATAGTACCGAAAACACTTACTTCCGAAGCCCCGGAGGCCCTGGTTTAATTGCTAGGATTTTTTGAATGTTGCAACTAGGCAGCCCTCGTCGACCAGGCCTTCCAAGCCCGATTCCGCGAGAAATCGACCGTGCGAAATCGCTTTGATGTGTGCACCTGAAAGAGCACCAAAAATAGTACTGAAAACCGTTTCTTCCGAAGCCCCGGAGGCCCTGGTTTAATGGCTAGGATTTTTTGAATGTTGCAACTAGGCAGCCCTCGTCGACAGGCCTTCCAAGCCCGATTCCGCGAGAAATCGACCGTGCGAAATCGCTTTGATGTGTGCACCTGAAAGAGCACCAAAAATAGTATTGAAACCCGTTTCTTCCGAAGCCCCGGAGGCCCTGGTTTAATGGCTAGAATTTTTTGAATGTTGCAACTAGGCAGCCCCCGTCGACAGGCCTTCCAAGCCCGATTCCGCGAGAAATCGACCGTGCGAAATCGCTTTGGTGTGTGCACCTGAAAGAGCACCAAAAATAGTACTGAAAACCGTTTCTTTCGAAGCCCCGGAGGCCCTGGTTTAATTGCTACGATTTTTTGAAACTTTTGGTTCTGATGGTTTACGACTAAAGGGGGGACCACATGGATTTTTTCGGAATTTACCAAAAAAATTTCGAGAAATTCATCACGCACTTCGATGTGGAGCTGAAAGAGCACCAAAAATAGTACCGAAAACACTTACTTCCGAAGCCCCGGAGGCCCTGGTTTAATTGCTAGGATTTTTTGAATGTTGCAACTAGGCAGCCCTCGTCGACCAGGCCTTCCAAGCCCGATTCCGCAAGAAATCGACCGCGCGAAATCGCTTTGATGTGTGCACCTGAAAGAGCACCAAAAATACTGCCGAAAACCGTTTCTTCCGAAGCCCCGGAGGCCCTGGTTTAATTGCTAGGATTTTTTGAGTATATTTGGGCTCTTCATAAATTTCTTTTGAGAGATTGGATGGCCCAATAAATTTGTAACTATGATCATAGAATGCGCCCATTAAGTAGTATTAAATAAAATTATGACAGTAATTCTAGCCTCTCAATTGAATTTTATAAACTGGCATGAAGGTCTGCGAAATAGCACGAGCCAACCGTTTTGGAGGCGCTAAAAGGCAACCTTCCAAAGGGGTACGGGAGCTAGAAATCGTTTACATGATAGATGGACGCCAGTCCTACACAACCAAACAAAGCAAACACCGAAATTCTATCTGCAATTTTAGAAATATTTTTCCAAAGTTCAATTTCGTGACCTCGAAAGATCCGCGGTTCTGAAAAAATTTTTTTGATATTTTTGTGGGATTGTATCGAGCCTATAGACATGCTAAAACAGCTTATGTTGAGGTTTCTACCATAGGTTTTTGTAGTATTCGAAATTTACGAAATTTCTCTACATGTATATTAAATTTGACCACGCTATAACTTGCCAACCTGACCTTCAAAAATTCTAAAATTCCGGATGTGCGTAGGGGCGATCCTGAGGTACCTACACTGTAAAAATTGGAAGTGTTCAACCACCAGCAATCCAAAATAATGCAGACGAAGTTTTGCCGGAACGCACAATTTTCGGGTGTCATTTGTATGGGTACGTCGCCAAAAACTCGAAAAAATCAAGTTGAGTTATTTCCCTATTCCTGACATATTTAAGCATTCTGGCATGGTAACGCACGGTGAAATATGTTTCCTTCTCGAGTTAATTGGGGACAAACTTGGGCACTTTTTTTTGGGACACCCTGTAAGCAGACCATTCGAAGCGCTTTGAAACGCTGATTCCGGGTTGCTAACTGGCTCGGCCGTCACATCGCTCCTTGGCGCAACAGCAGCTCGAAGACCCCTAATCCTCAATTCAGCCAAATCGGGCGCTTCCGCATTCCGGACGCTCTTCGTAGCGGAATCGCAGGGCGGGCTTCACTGCTTGCTTCGCACCCGCCCCCCACCTGGCCCACTAGTGTGGAGGGGGTTCCCAAAGCTTTCCACTGAGTAGGCCAACGATTGACCCTCAGCTTAGGCTTAGGCTTAGGCTTAGGCTTAGGCTTAGGCTTAGGCTTAGGCTTAGGCTTAGGCTTAGGCTTAGGCTTAGGCTTAGGCTTAGGCTTAGGCTTAGGCTTAGGCTTAGGCTTAGGCTTAGGCTTAGGCTTAGGCTTAGGCTTAGGCTTAGGCTTAGGCTTAGGCTTAGACTAAGACTAAGGATTGAACATTTTTCGAAAGCTTATGTGCGTTTCTAGTGAGCCAGCGGTGTGGCGAGTGGGTGACCAAGCGTAGGCTGAGCTTCTTCCCTTCATTGTTTCCTTGAGTGTATGATTTTGAACTTGTGGTTCAAATATTTCTTTATCAAGCGCAGCCATAAATCCCAGTAATAAAATCTTCATATATTCGCACCAATGGAAGGGGGAAGGCAATTGTTCAGAGTGAGAGCAGGGACCCGATTCGGTTCGATAATGTTGACACATCGCAAGTTGTATATTCATGGAAAAATTGAACCCGTAAAATGCACAAATGACAGGATGGGGGAAAGTGATTTGGATAAATATGAAAGGGGGGAGTCTTCTGAATCTACTTTTGACCGGTCGAACGTCTTCTTTTGCTGGCCAGGGCTGCTTTTGGGCATAGGATCTTCTTGAATGCACGTCGGAACTCGAGATTCAGAATACCGTACAGGAAGGGATTTAGGGAGGAGTTGATGTAGCCTAGCCAGACAAAGGCTTGTTCAACCTGGAAAAAAGGATTAACATCGCGTACGATTAAATTTGAAGTTGTTTTTATTGTTTTTGGATCACAAAATCTGTTGTAAAATCCTTAAATGAAGGAATTTTGCAAAACAAAAAATTGCGTTTTTGACGAATGTGTTTCTCCACCTCCATGCCAAAAATCAGCGCAAAATTCGGCCTCACGGCCGACAAATTCTCATTACAGAAAACACCCACATACTTTTCGCGCTTTTTGAATAGGATGTTTTTTCCGTTGCGATGCCCTTTTTAACCTACCTTCGGATGCAGCGAGCAGCTTGGGCAGAACGGCACGATGACGTACGCGCAGAAAAAAGGCAGCCAGCAGAAGACGAACACGAAGATGATGACGGCGATCGTCTTCGCAGCCCGCTTCTCCTTGGCAACGCTGATTTTCTCGCGTTTTCGCAGGACTGCGCTTGGATTCTGAAACAAAGCGCGTCAAAGTGAGCGCGTATCTCTCTCCTCTCGTGCTCCTTCTTTCCCTCTCGCTCTCTCTGTCTCTGTCTCTGTCTCTCTTCAAATCCTACCTCGCTATCCGGCGACTCGGCAGTACTGTTCTTTCCGCTCTTCCGAACTGAACTACCACTTTTGTGATATTTCATATTCTTGGTCGTGGTCTCCTCGTTGGACGAGTCGGATGTCTAGAATGAGGAATTTTTGGAAAATTACTTGATGTGTTGAAGTGTATGATGTAGTGTTAAAAATTACCTTTCCGTTAAAAGTGACAGTAGCCTGATCCCCGTGCACTAACGGCGTGCGCTCGCCACATGAGGTAGGTTCGTGCTGGACAAGACAGGTATTAATGGACACATCTGGTTCATATACCTGCTTCGTGGATCTTCGGCTCTCGCACTCATCCGGTGGGGGATTGTTGATGCGCATCAGAGCGGAGCGACCCCGATTTTTTCGAATTCGTTGCCTTGCCGAGATGAAGATTTTGACGTAGACGACGATCATGACGAGGAGCGGGAGGAAGAAGGAACTAAAAATAATCAATTAACACTTGGAACTTTGTCTTGAATTTTTTTCTATGCGATCTGTACTTTTGAATTGCTTGCCGGCCCTATCCCTATAAAATAACATCTCCAGGAAATTTTTGCACCTTAAATACACCCCCTAAAATTCCGCTTGCAGCCCTTTGTCCCTTTGTACGACCCGAATCGTAGCTTCCCCTTTGATCCAATAAAACCCCCGATCTTTGCTGCTCACATCCGGCTACCCTTGTGTCCCCGAGCCATTATTCGTGGGGTGGCCAGCCAGAATTTGATTGTTTGGGGATGCCACAGCCGGATCGAAAAAAATGGCAAATTGGCGGCAGCGAGACGACCCGACTCGACTCGACCCCCAGATGAGGCCGGGCGTCAACACAACAAAATCGGAACAATTCGCTGAGTTTTTGGGGTGTAAAACATGACCAAGTGGTTGTAATGGGGTCTTCATCGTTAATGGGAGTTGGAAATTGGCACGGAGCTGGGGGATATAGGGTTTTTAGAGATCGTTTCGGGCGGTTAGAGCCATTAGCAGTTTAAAGGGACTGTTCCACACAAAAATGCAGAAAAAGTCCGATCCCAAAAACTTTGTGGAAGCTTTTGAAGGACAGTCACTATTTTAGTACCATATTCAGCTTGAAAAAAGTATGATTTAAAAATAGGCACCGTGAGGTATTTAAAAGTAGTAGGTTATCTCAAGACTCATGGCTTCTACAAAAATACGCAAGCTATGAATTGCGAAACAAAGAGCCAGGAGAAACTTTGTAAAGTTTTTCAAAGTTTAATGCTATTTTTAAAAGACTCGATGCAACTCGAAGAGAAAGCAAGGTATCAAAAATAAACATCATGAAGTATTGTAAAGTTTCAAAAACCCACCCGCTTGCTGAATAGACGACGAACGCCTTCTCGGAGGTGAGCTCGCAGATGCCCTCCTTCACCTGGGAAGACCAGTTGTTCCAGCCTATCAACGGTGGCACCGAGATCAATATGGAGAGCGCCCAGACCTAGAAAATATCGTATTTTCCGATTTATCTAAAAATCTATGCTAGTTGGCCAAAAAAACATACCACTCCAATGACGATACAGACGAATTTCAACGTCCGTTTCGACGCGTAGTTGATAGGATCGTGGATGGCGCAGTATCTAAAGGGATTGTTTTTCGTAGGCCTTTTAAGACGTTGCTACAAGCTTGACAGCTGTCTTGAAGCTTTAAAGCTTCGCAAGCTAAGCTATAAAAAATTAAGTGACTTACCGATCGATCGCGATTGCACACAGGTTCAGAATAGAACTTGTGCAGAGCAGGATGTCTGCTGTTGTGAAGAATTGGCACATTGCCACGCCGAGAAGCCAGCGACCGCCTGAAAAGAGAGAAAAACTTATGATGTTTAGGCTAAGGCTTGGGCTTAGGCTTAGGCTTAGGCTTAGGATTGGGCTAGCTGAACTATAGCGTAAGACATCGACCCTTATTCTGGTATTTTGAAGTCCCTTCTAACCACTTTAAACTTTCCTCAACTTCCGCCTCTAAAAATTTTTCAACTCCACTTTCCCTTCCAATCCCAAATTTCGTCACTCGCCGCCTCCTCAAAAATGCAACACTTCTTGGGCCACGATCTCGACCCCTCCGACCACGCGACTGTGTGAAATTTGGCGACGTGGCGAACTTCGGACCCCGATTTGGGGATTTGGGCACACGACGATGAAAAGACGTGGAATCAACGAGTCCATGCTAAATTTGGGGGGCCCTCTCAAGATCCCGGGGCCAATTGTGGAGTCCGGGGAATCGGAATCGGTGCTGAATCGAAGTCATGGCCGCACTCTGCTTCTCCCCACGGCCAATTTCACCCTTGACCACACAAATACTCGCACCGGGTCCCTTTTTGTTTTTTGACGGGGGGTGGGAATCAAAGAGCAACGGGCATCAGAATTCTGAAGAATACTATAAAACTTAGGCATAGGCTTAGGCTTTGCTCAAGCTCATTTTAGGCTCAGGCTTAGTGTTAGCTTGGGCATAGGCTTACTATAGGCCTATGCTTTGGCTTTCGCTTCGGCTTAGGCTTGGGCTTAGGCTTAGGCTTAGGTTTAGGCTTAGGTTTGGCTATGCTTAGGTTTATGCATAGGCTTATAATTCACATACGATTAGGCTTAGGCTTTGTTTAGGCGTAGCTTTGGCTGAACCCTTTTTTGGCAGAATTTTTTGACCCAACGCCAATTCCGAGCCATCCGGCCCCTCTATTTCCCAGAATAATCCATCACATTCTAATCACCAAAACCACAAGTAAAAACTAATTCTTCCCCCCGGAAGTCAATCCTTAATATTTCATCCTATTTTCAGGGAATCCCCCGGAAGAATTCGGAAACACCCGGAGGGAGCCCGACAAGGGGGATTCGCTTGATTGACAACGGCAATCCCAGAAACCGACACCCCAGTACCCAAAAGACACAAAAACCCAGGTGATTTTTGTTGAACACACCTCCCGAAAATACCTTAGGAGCGTCAAAAAAATTCTCTAGAGACTTTGCGGCGCTGCAAGGAAGACGTACCTGCCAAAAATTTGACGACGTGGAGTGGCATCACGAAAATGGCCACAGCAAGGTCTGATGCGGCAAGGCTGACCAGAAAGTAGTTCTGGACTTTTTTGAGGGGTCTAAAAACATGTTTAATAAAATAAGAGAGAGATTTCTACCTGTAGTTAAAAACTGCCAACACGACGAGGGTGTTACCGACGACTGTCATGGCGATGATTACCTGGGAAACTTTGGATGAAGAGAGAGAGGGAGAGAGAGAGAGAGAGAGAGGGGGGGGAGAGATAAACTTACCAAGTAAGTGATAGTGCCGAGTATCAACTCGATCACCGGCACGCCGGCTCCGATGGCGCTGGTCTGATTCAGCGGCAGCGGACTCGCTGGTATCGTCGCCTCTTCTGATGTGTTCCAGACGGCCGCCGCCAGCGAGTGGATGGCTTGGAAGACCATCAACTTCAAGAATATATAAATTTTTAGGCTACTAAGTCAATAAAAAGTACCCATTGTATCTTGAAGACGTCACAAACAAATATTCTAGATTCATGGAGGTCAGATAGGTTGCAATAGAGCCATTTTTAAAGTTAAACGTGACAAAATACGCGTAAATAGGCACAAATCGTAGTTCAAAAATCGTTGGGCTATTTTCTAGAGTCTACACTGCCCCCAAAAAAACAAAGAAAAAGATGCGTGGTGTCGGGGGTGGCGAATGTTTCTTCTCGTTCCACGCACACTTTCCGGCCAATTTGGGATGGACAGAAAAGGGGGAGTAAGGAATACAGATGGCAAAAGGGGAAGGAGAATAAAATAGAAAAAGGGTCTAGATTTTTGCAGACAGCAAAGAAATATGCATCATTGAGAGTTTTTAGCGGTACAAGGAGGAAAAGATTGCCGGATTGAATGGAATCTGCAAAAAAGGAGGAACAAGAAAAGCTAAACCTATCCTAAGCTTAAGCCAAAGCTCAAGGGTAAGCCACCTAAGTCTAAGCTTAAGGCTAAGCATAAGCCTGACGTAAGCCTAAGCTTACGCCTATGGGTAACCTATGCCTAAGCTAAACCTAAGCCTACGCTTAAGCCAAAGACACGAAATGACATACATCTTCATTCAAAAAATTCCGGAAATGATCACGGGCGCTACACGCGAACAACGTGATGAACTTTGAGGGTCGGAGGCCTATTTCCTCAATTTCCGACTAGCTCCCCTGCACGCTGCGGCACAACCTAGCTGGGCCCCCCGGGGCGAGAAGCGGGAATCCAGTGTTTTCCGCGGATCATGTTTCGTGGGTGTGTTAGGGAGGTGGCTTTCGGACTCTCTTTCGGACCCCCGTGGACAGTGGAGGTTCAGTTTTGACCCTCGGAAGTTTTTCGGCGTGGCCGATACTCCCCCGCGAACTCATTGAGATTTTCGTGGGGAGGCTGAGCGTTGAGTCGTTTTGCGACTAATTGAACTCGGCGGGCCTGCGAATTGCCGATCGCAAACCGGCGGAAAGTTGTGTTTTTCTTGACTGTTTGGGTACGTCGGTGTGTATTCTGGGTGGCTGGGATTTTGAAAAATATGCTTGAATACATCGAAAAGGCTTAAAATTAAGCATACACGTGCCATTAAAAATGACTAAAACTACCGTATCAACTACACTTTCAATGGCTGAATTTCAGAATTTTATTTTTATAGATTCGCTCTACCTCCGAAATACTGATTTTCAGTGCCCAATTTAGGCATCACAGTTGATTTTTGTTTTATAATTTTTATAAACTTTTTTAATCATTTTTTTGCATCAATTAGAAAAATCTATCTAGGTTTTGATAATGGATTTTAGATTTGAATCAGGATAGTTTGTTAATCAAGCGGACTTCTTAAAACAGGATAAATTCAGTTCAATGCCATTTTTTTCGCTTATTTATGCAATTTTTCATGTTCACCCCCACAGGTTGCCATTTTTAGTCCGCCCAAAAATTTTCGTTCCACTAGCGTTTTGCCAAAAAACCGCCCATCTTCTAAGATATTCGCAGAAATTCCCAATATCACCCCGGTCCCCCAAAAGTTCTGAATCGCCGGGCGTGGAGGGGCTCGGGTGGATGCGGGTTTTTGAGAACAAAAGGCCGAAGCGGGGTGGAGGAGAAGAAATATGCATGGGCGCACGCGATTCGCCGGAGGTCCTCCAAGGGGGGTCCAAGTGGAGGAGGATGGCTGGGACTTGCCCAGTATTCGACGACAACACAAAACAATGCTCACGATCTGTTATCAAAAAAATGGTGATGTTCGCTTAGTTTGCAGTTTTTTAAAGGAACCGGAAATCGAGAGAAAAGGCATGAATGACAAAAACAAGGATCCCACGACACAGAAAAACGGTTCCGAATCTATTGGATTGTCAAGAAAAACGATGATCGCCCATTTTGAATGTTTTAGAGAGGCCGAAAGTTAGGGCACCATGCATTAATGATAAGAAGCTTTCAGCAACCGTTTTTCTAGGGGCTTTTACAAAAGAAATGAAAAAGAAAACTTTGGTCAGAAACGCTTCTAAAGGGACCGGAAAGTTGAGGACACATTAATGGCAGGACAACGGCTAAGAAAATAGGAATTGCTTTAGAAAATATTTTCAATGGTACACTTAACTGGAAAATGTAAAAAACCGACGTTTTCCAGGAACTGAAAACTTCAGAACCGAGGCATGACGACTAGGATGAGGACGAGAAACTCATGAAAGCTTTAAGACTAATTTTTATAAAATGGAAAGTACAAGCAAAAATTTTCAAAAGTAGGTAAGGCTGGTTTAGGCTTCCGCTTAAGCTTAGGCTTAGGCTTAAGCTTACAGTCATGGTTTCGGCAGCCGGAAGTAGCACGTCAAAATAGATCACCAGGAAACGTCCACCAACCGGACAAATTTTACAACTTCCCTGGAACGCCTCCGCTACTGTACCAGCCCCCTCCGCGCTTTTTAAATAACCCCATCTGGCTTGTCCCTAGATAAACAAGCATGACAAATGACTCAATTAAAAACGGGCGACCAGCGGGGGCCACGCGGGCTCTGGCGGCTGTTGCTCGAAACGAGCCAAGATGATCCATGGCATGTCACCCATTTTGCGGGTGGAGCAAGGAAGACCAATTGTCCCATTCGGGCCCAAAAATCGCACAAAAAGGGCCGTGCTCCTGGGCCTGTTACAACCACCGTGTCAAAACGAAGGCCGGAGAATGAATGACATGGCGTTTTTGGAGGTGCAGGTCGACATGGTTATGTTAGGGCCGAAAAATGAAGGTCAAAAAACGGACGCCAGGGGCTTCACGGGGTTCCGGGGGATTATTGGTAGGCAAATATGGCGATGAGGAAGCGGCCTTTTTTGGTGACGCCATTGGATCATGCAACCTGATCGGGTTGTTATTTTTGCAAGAATTTAGAGGTGACCTTTCAAGGGGCAAGAAAGGCTGTGGCTTGGCTTCAGGTTCAAAAGGTTTGGTCTAATTCTGTGGCTTAGGTTTAGGCATAGGAATTGGCCTAGGCTTAGGATTAGGCTTAAGCTTAGGCTTAGGCTTAGGCTTAGGTTAGGCGTAGGCTTAGGCTTAGGCTCAGGCTTAGGCGTAGGCTTAGGTTAGGCTTAGGCTTAGGCTTGGCTTCTCAGAACAAGTTTTTTCAGCGGACAGTTAAAAACTATTCCCCTCTTTTTTCACTAAATGCTCGCAACATTGAGCTCCATCCCTGATTTCCAAACATTCCCAAAGAGGCCCAAATTACCCCCCAGAATCTCTGGAATTCTCCCGGGATTAGCGGGTCCTAACAAGCCCCTAATTCCGCTTCCGATTTCCCTTCACGCTGCAGCTCCCCGACTTCCTCGTCGTGTACAGCTCATCAGCCATAAATATCTTTAATGGCGGGTCCCCCAGGTAGGTGTAGGCCCTATACGGCCCCATTTATGAATTCAGATACGCGGCGGAGTGCACATACTCGCCTCGTCGCCGTCGGTCCCCTCCTCCCCCGGCGCGCCACGCGGCGATGAAAAACGGGCGACGTTCACGAGATCCGCCAATTTGCAGGGCCAACGAAGCAAGAGATGAAGCTGGGCAGCATTTGGCCCTATATAGCCGTCTTTTTTGGGTGGTCAACCCCTGCAGAATGGCCTAAGCGAAGGACCTGCGTAGTGGGAATGATTAGCGACCTCTCTATTTGGGGTCCACGAGACGATTGCCAGCAAAAAATTGCCGCCACGTCTGCGAGGGCCTCTAACTGCCCCAATTTCGGCGCCTCATGCTAATGGGGTGTGGCCGGGGGTGGATTCCCGGGTTTTAGGGGGATGGGTTGATGAGGTCGAGGAGGGGAATAATATGGTAACGAAAAATGGGGATGACTCAAGGAAAGGAGAGTTCGCGTTTTTGTCGAAAAGGAAAGAGAGAGAGGGAGAGAGAGAGAGAGAGAGAGAGAGAGAGAGAGAGAGAGAGAGTTAGAGGGTTGGAACGAGGGGCAGACATGTTGAGCGAGAGATCCAAATACACGATTCCCATCAAACTAGCTGTCACTCTCCCTAGAAAATCGAGTTCTTTATGGAAAACGAAATAGAAAGAGTAAGATCGAATTTCGATAAATAACTATGATTTTTAATCAAATACTAAAAAATACTAAAAATCTAAAACCATAAATAGAAGAATTCTGCCCATCCCCCGCTATCAACTTTTCCGCACAACTACCAGCCCCCCCCCCCAAATTCCCCAATTTCAAATTCGGCAACAATTCCAATGCGGGCATCCAATGCCCCCATTTCAAGCGCCCCGTCGAATCAAGGTGAAAACTTTTACGACGCCGTGGGCCGGGCAATCCCAAAAAAGTTACGGTAGCCACCCGGCCCAACTTTTTTGCGGTTTACCCACCCGACGGCCCACGCTGGCTAGGGGTCTGAAAATAAAACTTGGAGCACCACACCCACATCCTAACCGAATGGCTTTGTGGCCGGGCCATAAAATGCGTGGGGGCCCGAATTGGCGGGGAATCGTGGGTGGGGTGCAGCGAGAATTTTAGTTGGAGCTTTGCGGGTGTGAGGTTTGCATCGAGCATGAATAAAATCAAAAAGAAAAACTAGAAAAAGATATTCAAATTTAAAATTTGAAATTTAGTTCAAAGGGAGGGCCAGCTAGATTTTCACTTCAATCGGGTTAAAAATGCCGAGATACCTGTTCCCTAGGTCACCAAATAGAATTCCAAGAACTCGCGACCACACCCAGAAAATAATAGGATTTGCGAGAAATTGCGAATATTTTCAAGGCACCGTTCTCACGTCAGTTCTCTCTCTTACTCTCTCTCTCACTCTCTGGCTCTCTATCTCTCTATCTCTCTCTAGCCTCTCTCTCTCTCTCTCTCTCTCTCTAAATTTCTACACCTGATGGTTAAGAATTTTTGTGAGGAAAAGTTCATGATCCCGATGGATGTTGTACTTGACCAGAAAAATATAATCTGAAATTCAGAGAACTT